TCACAATGTCCTGTACCACTGAGTAGGAATCGACTCATAGCTGACCTACAGTGGGTTTTCAGGGGCAGTAAATCATACAGTAGCAGACTGCCCATCTTTCTCCCATGGAGCAGCTGGTGGATTCAAACCACATGCCTTTGGGTTGGCAGTGCAACTCCTTATAACTAAGCTACCAGAGATTCCTAACAATAATAATACTCATTAACTAAGGCCATGTCATTGTAGAGGTAAGAAGGTAAGAAAGTAAACAATAATTTAGTGCAAAGGAAGTCTCAGGCTTCAGCCTGGCACTTAAGTCCAAGATGACCCTACCCCAAACTACTCTGGGGTCTTATCACCTTCTAGCAGCCGCCCAGAGGGCCTGTTGTGAATCCTACCACAGGCCCTCACATCACCATGCCTCCATTTATTCTGAGACTCCAATCCCTCCTCAACCTGGACTTTTCTCCAGATCTTTCGAAGTTCCTCTCAGGTGCTTCTCCTCCTGGGAGGCTATCGCAGCCCCTCTCATCATCATGGCTCTCAGGCCCTGACTCGTGCCACTGAGCTAGAACAGACTTCGAACTGGCCCTCCAGCAGGTTTTCAAGACTGTAAATGGCACAGGAGGAGACTGCCCGCCTTTTTTTCGAAGAGTAGCCGATGGATTCCAATTACCCTCCCTTGGGTTGGTAGTTCAACTGTCTACATCAGGCCACTAGTATCATGAAAAATTATGAAAAAGAGGTTTTTAAAAAAATCAGACAGTCCTAAATGTAGTTTTTCATAACTCAAGGAGTCATAAGTGAGGGGCTACTTGTATCCATCTGATCCGCACACATTTCTTGAAGACTCACTGGGCTGTGAATAGTTCTGTTCTGCTGGAAATCACATTTGCATACATTTCTCACTTGATTTTACAGCTCCCATGGCCAGCTCTCTCTCTCATTTAATAGAAGGGAAAACTGAGGGCAGGAGAAAGGAGTTCCCAGGGCCACATGGCTGGTTCCTGACTGAAGTGGGGGCTCTGGTCTGAGTTTTTCATGGCTCTTTTCAGTGGGCACTGGGCATCTCTAGCCTGTGAAAAATCTGATCATAAAGGGGCCACAACATGACTGGTACTTGTGTGACATCTTGAGTCTTCCCCAGTTTCCGTCAGGTTTCCTATTTGTCCTTGCGGATGACCCCTGCTGGCTTAGTGGTAGGATTCTTGTTTTCCATGCAGCAAGGATGTCAGAAAAGACTAAGGTGCATCTGACCCACTCCATAGTCTTTTCACTATTTTCTATCACCTGAAAGTTGAATAAGGATGACAGAAGAACCAATGCCTTTGAGCTGTGGTGTTACAGCAGCATACTGAATATCTCATGGACTTCCCAAAGAACAAACCAATCTGTGTTGGAGGAAGAGCAGCCAGCGTACTCCTTAGAGGCAAGAATGGTGGAACTTCATCTCACATACTTGGAGCACGTTGTCAGGATGGGCAAGTGTTTAGGAAAAGATATCATCCTGGGAAAGGCAGAGGGTCAGAGAAAGACAACTCAGCTCCCCTGTGTTTCCAAGGCTGTAAATGGGTTGGGAGGAGATGTCCCAGCTTTCTTCCAGTGATGGCTTCAAACTACCAGCGAGGCATGGCCTTTGGGTCAGCAGCGCACTGCACACCGGCTGTGCCACCACTGCTCCCTCTGTTAATAAAAGACAGTAAGTGACTGGAGTCATGGGAGTAGGTGTGTCAGAGACAGTGAGGTTGGCACAGGATAGAGCAGGGTTTAGGGCTCTTGTACATAAGGTTGCTATAAGTTGCAAGCAACTCGAGGGCACATAACAACACAACAACAACCTAAGCATTTTTTGTTAGAAAAGGAGTTACTTGACTTTGAAAATCCACTTACAACTGACTAACAGGAATGGGATCCTGTCATAAGTCAGATTACCTGTGTTCTCATTAGTAGGCATTTGGGGGTATTTCAGGGCCTAGGAAGAAAGGCTTTGGACTTAAACACTGTTTTTAAATTTCACTCGGAGGAAGGTGTGAGAACACTTCTGCGTGGTAACGAATAAATATTTACTGAGGCCTCATTTGCTTAAAGGCATGGTGCTCTCCTTTTGAAGGCTCTGGGAAGGAGGAGGAGGAGGGTCTTACTACAAGACTGAAGCAGAACAGCTGCAGCTCTCAGACTCAGTCGGCTTTCATTCTCCCAGCCCCAGTGGGCATTGTTAAAAAGTGCTCCCGCTGTGTCCTCTGAAAGGAGGCTGGGGCTGGGCAGTGCAGAATGCTGGCCTGCTTTGGCTAGAAGAAGACACCTTCACCACTTTGTGAAGACAGAAGAGCAGGGGCCACACAAGAGGCTGAGGGTGGGATGAGATAAGCTCCCAGGTCTGTGGCAGTTGACACAAATTCTGGCAGGAAGCTGAACTCCCAGGAATCCCAGCGTCTGTCACTAATGGGATCATTAAAAGTGGCTTCGGAACTGCCTCTCATTTGGCCCATGCTTGTCTTTACCCCCGGGGCCTCTGCCTGGGGTAGGCCCCCAAGCCCACAGATCAGAGTGAAGAGCTGTCACATTTACTTGTCATTTGGTAATTTTCAATGAATTAAGGGTATGGGGTTTCTATCTGCCATCTGGCCTCACTCGAGTAACCATAGCAACCACCATCTGCCTGACTTAAAACTATCAAGTCCTGTCCCAAAAGAGCACTGGGCAGGGTGTCAGGGACCTGGGTGCTGGCTACACTCAGCAGTCACCCTGGACAAGTCCCCTGCCCTCTCGGGGTCTCAGGCGCCTTCTCTGAATGCTAACAGCTATGTCCTGGAAATGCAGCAACACACCAGAGAGACATTTTCTGAGGCTGGGGGCACCATATAGATTTCGGGGACTCTGAGACCTGGCTGGCATTTCTGATGTATCCTGCACGTGGGTCTGAGAGTATAACCTGTCAGGAGACAAAGAAAACCGCCTGTGAACTTACTGCTGAGGAAAGCAGATTGTAAAATGCATCGTGACAGGAACGAAAAGAAAGGAGGAAAGAATGAACCGTATCAATATCACAGGGCAGGAAACAAAGGTTCTGAGTGGAAGGGACCTCCACACAGCTTCACAGGGCTGTGTCAGCCCAGAGAAGGGCAGGAACTGGCCTAAGGTCACACAGGGACAGAGACTGGGCAGTGGCATCAGAAGTCAGTCAGCTCTCTCCTCCACTAGCAGCACCAACAGGGAATAACCTTCTGTGACACCCTTGGACTCCTGGGGCTGATTCAGGCTTCTCAATGGGACATGCACTGCTTTTTTTTACCTAGACCGGTGACTTCCTGCCCCATCTCCAGAAATCCTTTCTGGATTCACTACATAGAATACTTGGAAGAAAGAATATTAGGTATTCATTAGAGTTCCAGTGGGCTGGGTCTGTATAACAAAGTCAGTCACCCACAAAGGGTCTTGCAGCCTGGAAAAGGCTTACCCCATCCTCAGGCTTCCAAGTTGGAGATGAAGTCACAGCAGTGAGTCTCTGGGCTAGGCCAGAATTTTTCCCCAGAACCCTGAACCCCAGACCACAACCTGAATCACAGGCCACATGCTCACTCACCCTGAACCGCCTACTGACACCTATAGGCAGCACTGACAAGGGCAGTTCTCTAAAACCCAATTGTTGATGTTGGTGTTAATTGCCCTTGAGTGGAGCACGACTCATAGAGATCCTATGAACAAAAGACCTGAAGCCTTTCGATAACTATCATCATTTCTCAAAGTTCCTAGAGTTTCCAGAGGCATGTTGTTTAGGAAGTGAATGCCACTCTTGCTTCTATGCATAGGGAGCCGGCAAAATGGGGCAGCTGGGACAGCCTTATATTTAGAGTTGGGTTTATTTTTTATTTATTAAAATGACATATAGAAGGTGGGAAAGGATAGCTTTTAGAGACAGCTATTCAGTGATAAGAAAGCTTAAGTTTTTAAGCACTTAGTAGTTTTTTGTTTTGTTTTATTATTTCTTTTCTCAATGCACTGCCCTAGTCAGTGCTCTCAGCCTATGGGCAAAGGGGCTAGGCAATGGTTCACAGCTGCTGTTTACTCTGGCATGGGTACACCATGAAAGACCCACAGAAAAGGGCCTGCCATAATTCCATTACCATGCTCAGTAGTTCATTATTTTTAAAAAAAAGTCATAATTTTTATAGCTGTTTTTGTTGTTAGGTGACATCGAATCAAGCATACCTCACAGCAACCCCATGAACAATAGATCTGATGCCATCCCAACAATCTGTGACATACTTGAGTTACGGTGTCAACCCACCTGGTTGAGGGTCTTCCTCTCTTTTGCCATCCCTCCACCCTCCCAAGCATGATGTCCTTTTCCAAGAAATAACCTCTCCTAGTAAGATACCCGAAATCTATTAGATGAAGCTTCTTCATCTTTGTCTCCAAGCAGCACTCTGGCTGCACCTTCTCCAAATATATCTGCTTATTCTTTTGGCAGTCCATGGGATAGTCAGCACTCTTCTCTAACACCATAGTTTAGAGATCCTTCCAAATTATATAAGCCACCTGGGTCTTCCCTATCAGGACGCTAATCTTTTCAGAGCTTGGGCCTCCAAAGATTTCACCTGTTCTGCGTTGAGCGGTTACCTCAGGCCCCCCAGTAGAGCCTCAAACCTTCTTGGCTAATATTCTGGTGCTTTGGTCTTACTTCTGGGACTCCACCCTGCTCACTCTGTCTTTGCATTCAAATGCGACCCGCCTGCAAGCAGGGACTGGGTAAAACCACAAGGAATTCCCTAGAAACACCCAGTCTCAAGAGAGCAAACGTGTCAAGCCAGAAAATAAATTACTGTTGCAGTATGTTCGTAACAGTCACTGAAATTCCTACCTGCTTGGAAAAGAAAAGTCCAGGATGTGGATGGATTCCCACCCATCTTTGTCGCTCCACGCACAGACAGAAACTAGAAATACTGCTTCCGAGTTGGAAAGGGGTCCCCAGGCAGAGCTTTTGGGATATCATTCTCTCCACCCAGCCCACTGGGACTCACCGAACTCACACGGGCCATCGCGCGCCTTGTGCAGGTGGCTGAGATGCGCGTGGGGCATGTGCCGGGCGCGCAGATGCAGGGCGCAGACGCTAGGGTAAGAGCGGCCATCCGAGCCGCAGACGGTGCCGCGCTGCGCGCACACGCAGAGCCCGGTACCCTCGGGCGCCGCCCCGGTGGCGCG